AAAGAATAGTGGATCGTTTCTGAAAGTTACAAACACTTGTCTATAACTTAGCATTTTAAAATAACATATCGTTTTACATCATATTTTATTTTATTTTGTTACTTTCAGCATCCTATATAAACGTTTTTAGATGTATATAATGCAATCAAGGTCATTTTACCAGTGATCTTCTATTTTTTATTTTGAGTAAACTTTTATCAAGAAATTTCTCTTGCTGACCTTATTATCGAGTTTTAATTTCAATCTGATTTTATATAATTGCAATAGTAACCATATGAATAACCTCTATATTAATATGTATAACGTTTAATTGTGCAGTGATACTAGATAAAATCGATATTCTTCGTAACCTAGTGCAAATACTTATTGAGGTCTATTTCATATATTTTACTTTGGTTATAATGTATGGGCATTATTATAAACATTTAACTTGAATTTATTATTATTAGAATATAGCATAAATGTCGCATAGGATTTGTGACGTGTGGGTGCATAGTTGCTCAAAATATGCTTGGAACGTTTTTCACATATAGGCCTTTCTCGGATCGAAGAAGAAAGTATTTCAAAATAATTGGTATAAATAGTTTTAAGATAATTCAGGAAAATTTAATCATTATAATTAAAACGTCGACACCTTATAGTGCATATGCTGAGTTAAGAGCAAACCTTAAGAAAAATAATAGATTAAACTTAATTACTTAATTAGCAAAAAACACTAAACCAAGAAAAGTGTTTAGTATTTTTTTAGTGATTGTCCGTGAATCATAGTTTCTGACTCTAATGATGTCCGTCGTACGATGGGTGAAAGCTCATATGTACCTTCATCGAGGTGATAGAACGGTGAGCCGAGGGCTTTGCACACTTCAACAGACAAAAGTCCAAGGCAACCCTCCTTAGTATTCGGTAAGACCAAGTTACGAATCCCTTTCAATATGCTAGTATTTATACATTAGCTTTACTGTGACGAGGGTTACTAAGTAATAGAAGCTATTTAAGCGAGTAAAAGCCTTAATGAATATTGGGCCTAAAGAAAAAGAAAATCTTATACTTAGGAAAAAATAGGTGCTTTTCAACAGTCTACCATAGCCTTTACTCTCTTCTAGCTAAATTTATGTATTGTCAACAATGACTTGTTGCGCCAGAATTATTTAGAGGAGGGTACAAAGAAAGACAGTAAATCAAGAGAATTTTCGCCCGATAATTTCAAGTTGAACACCACAATGACCTTTTAAATCCAGTTTCGTGGACATTTGATAGATAAGTTATTTTAAAAATAAAATTATCAAGTTATGTTTCGTATTTCAAATGATACTTGAGCTTCCTGGTTCTTTATTTTCATTTGCTCTTGGTCTTACCTAGCACTAACTGTCTAGTATTGAATTCCTAAAAGATTCACCTGCAGCTTCTCTTTTTAACTACCGTTGTCACGGACTATAATCCATTTGTATATTTCATCTGTATTCATTGAGCAGCTGAGCAAAGCAAGATTGTAGTATAAATATCCTCAAGTTCAGATTCATTGTTATCTTTCGGTCTCTACTGAGGTCGCAAATGCCACTTGTGATTTAATTAATTTGCCGGTGAAATTTCTTATCGCGTACTACTAACTTAAGCTAATTGTAATTATTAATCTCTAAAGAGTCTGCTTGAAGTCTATGATAAGTCGATTTATAAGCGTTAAATGATTTATGTAATAAATGAGGCAACTTTGTGGGGCTTACAAAAGTACTAAAGTTTCACATAGCCAAGAGCTTACTGGTTCATTATTTCTTTAAATTGAGATCTTTTATTGAGGTCTCTAAGGGATTGGTTTCGCTATCATCCAACCTGCAAGGTTTTCATCAAGCCTAATGCACCTCTGTTATCCCATGAATTCTGGCTTGTTACACCAACTTTTAGGTGAAACCGCATCTGCTATCTTCAAAATGTACTTCAATTTGATTAATTTTAGATACCTATTCAGAGTCGATTATAAAAAGTGAACCAAATTGGGGGAGACTGAGATATATTCTAGAGAAAATGAGTAATAGGAAAGTTTGGTGCTAAATTGGTTGGGAAAGACTGACCTGTACAAAGTTATTTGTTAACCAACTTGTCAGTCGATGTCTTGAGGATTATAAGCAGGAGTAATATGATTTAGTGAGTATTAGTGGGAGCATAATAATTAAAATAGAAGAATATGTTTCAAATCCAAGGAGGCCTATTCTGATGACATGTGGACTGTCTATCGAAAGTGTACGAGCTTATGCGAATGTATGCGCGATTATGTAAAAATACGGAGGGTGTGAGTGGCTTATTTGAACGAGATAGAAGAGCAGACGGTGACGAAACCAAAATGGACGGTTGCTAGGCCAGACTTAGATTGCGATTCAGGTGGAATGTGTTGGTGAAATGAGGAATCCACCATCTCAACGCATCAAGACTCTTGCCTACTAGTAACACAAATGTGCCGGCACTCTCGATAATAGACTTATAAATGTAAAGGAGGGAGATTTAAATACGATGACTACATCGAGGCAACTTTAGAGTGGAATATGTTTGCTGATGATAGATTAGCTTGTAAAGAAGATAATCCGTCTGCTTGATAATCAGGGGACTGCGATCTACCAGTCGGAGGAGGACAATGATGACAACGTGGAGGAAAACGAAGCTGCCAACGCTGTTGAAGATGCCGCGGGGGCAGGCGGAGGAGCTGCAAGACAGCAGCGCAGCTCGAAGATGATTCGCACTGACATCGAGGAACGGGCCCTAGATCCGAATCACAACTTCTTCCTTCTCGTGGATAGCGGCACGGCTGACCAGGTGAAAGGCAAAGATGCTGAGATGCGAGCCCGCTTCGAGAGATGCGTCTCCCTCTGGAGCACGAGCACGAGCACGAGCACCGGCGCCAATCAGCCGCTGGCCGGAGCAGCTCTGAACTGCTCTCTCGGAGGAGCTAGTTCCGAAGGGGCAGGGACCAGCGCGGGACCGGGTAGTTCGCTGCTTGGCCTCCAGACTGGTACAGCAGTAGGCCAGTCAGTCGCCACTTTGCAGTCTTCTTCGATGCACGAGGCTGGTGCACCTCCGGCCGGCGTCAGAGGGGCCATAAGCGGTCCCCTCAGTCGCCAGGGCAGTGTTCGCCCACCGGCGACAACAGGCACCGCCACTGGCTCCTTCGAGGGTCAGGGCACCGGGTCGTCAAGTCGCCTGCAGCCAGGCGGCAGCATTACGTCGCGAGGAGGCGGCCATCCTGGTCCGAAGGGAGCAGGTCTCTCGACGGCGCCAGTCGCAGACTCGGGCCCCAAGCCGGTAGGCAGCGCCGGAGCAGAGGAGGAGTTGCGAGTGCCGATGTGCGGCCTCGTGGTGGGCGGTGACAGGTTCACTCTGCGCCAAGTCTACTGCTCGGTAATCCAGAACCGCTGTCCGATGGTGGTGACCAAGGTCAGTCGACAGAGCGGCAGGCGTTTATTTTGGTTTCATTAAAAAGAACGGATCTTCGAGGGTTAGCGTTTTGAAAAATATCAGATTTTCAATTCCACACCAGACCGATAGGATGGCTTAAGATGCGACGAAATTGAACTTGTATGTCGCCATTTTTTTCTTAATTAAGTGATAAAATGTAACGGCCACTATACACGAAAGAAGAGAACTCTTAGACTTCTCGACTAGTGATTGAAACTCGGTGTGGTATAGAAGATGCAACCAGTTGATCTTGATTATGATTCGTATTCACCCTGGTTCGTATAAAGCGACGAGCTGTCAATCTGCTATAAATAGGCTGCGGAATGCCAGTGAATTTCACTTAACGTCACCTCCTAAAAAGTAGTTTCATACAGGGACGTCGCAAAGATGAGGGTCAAACCCGGGCGACGCATTGTC